GCTTGTGGCCACCTTGATGAAGTTGTCTCGTGCTGTTTCACCAGCCTGTTGTCTGCCTGCGCTGAAAGAGATCGCCCTACTTGCTCAGGCGCTCGGAGGTCCAGCTATCAATGATTCCGCTACAGGCGTCTATGGGTATTGACCGGCTCTTTTTATACGATGTCTTTCCAGGTACTCCTATGTGACTTGCCCAGCCGTCACTACTAACCTGTTGCTCGTCACAGTTGAGAATCTTCCCGTCAAACATTTCAATCGTCTGCACGCGCTCGAAGTTCACTGCAAGCCAGTCAAGGACGACATATTGCTCTTATATATGAGTCTGAGTAACTTGGAACTTGATGCTAGGGACCCGGATGCAGTCGAAACTTCTAGAACTTTCCGTCTGGAACTGGTCATAGAATCCAGCCATCAGAACGGGCTCACCGATGCACTGAACGAATTGGAGGAAACCATCGATGGGTTCAACCTCAACTGCAATCCCAAAGCGAAGTGGACAGCACAAGTAGTTCTCAACGCTACAACGGACAAGGAGAAGGCCGAAGCAATTCAACTGAAAGGGGGCGTCGTTGGTCATCTGGAGCGGCTGGGCGACGAACGGCGGTCTCGTTTCGTAATCAGCATCGGGGCGTCGGTTCCGGAGTAGACGCTGTGCTGTCAAGCATGTCTTACTTGTAATTGTAACCTGTTGAATGTGTAGATATAGAAGGATCCTCATCCCTTCAACCTGTATGCTTGTAGTCCCTTTCAATGAGCGCTCGATAACAGTTTGAGGAAACGTAGTTATTCAACGACTATAATAAGGACAGAATACAGGCAATAATACTTAGCGCTGAAAGCCGAAGTCTCTCCGTGAAAAGGGAGCCATTTATTCGTTCGAACACTCGCCAGTGTTTTGACAGTGAGAAAGAGTGTCTGTACGTCGTACACGACTCTGTTTGAATGCCTTGCTATCCAGTGTGGCTTTGTCGAAATGCCAGGAACATTCCCTGATATCGTGGCCATGGTAGCCGCGGAAGAAGTCAACACGCAGCAAGGTGACGTCCGCGCGTAAAATGCTCCACGCTAAACGTGAGGCAGTGTAGATTGTGGTATCAAGGCGTTGTGCGTGCGAGTGGCACGTCGGGGAGGCACATCTACTGTAATTGGCCTGCCTCGTTCTCGTGGGGAGGTAGCATGAGGTCTGTCGGGGCCTGAAAGAGCCAAAGGACTGAATCACTGAAAGGGGAGGCTGCGGAAGCAAAGCAAGTCAAAGGGTGGGAAGTCGCTCAAAGAAGGGCCCGAGTTGGTCCGACGAGGTGGAGCGATTGGATCTAGCTATGATCCAAAGAGAGGTGGATGACTGAAAGGGCCCCGCGTTAACGGCGAGAGTTCTGAGCAATTGCAGTGAGGAAAGCGCCAGATGGCTTCGAAAGGGACCTGGAAGTGATTTGACGCCTTGAATGGGCCCATATAGGATTGAGAGGAAGAGAAAGGACGCTGATAGCGGAAGTAGAACATGCTAGAATATGATGTGGCTGCGGGTTGCTGCCGGTACGCCGTAACACGCAAGCGCGGCGGAGATTACGTAAGCGCTGCAACCTTTGTTTTACTCTTCCCTTGTAATCAACTCTGTGGCCACAAACTTCCCTTCCAACAACCGTCATGCAGGTGGACAACCCCGTCCAGCATCAGCCCTATTTCTCTTCCTCACCGTCTCTAAACGACTTCAGCGACATATTCAACGCTGACCTCTTTGCAGACGACATCCTCAACGGCATCGACAACGGCGCCAACAACTCAAACTCACCCGCCACAGCCTCCTCTTCAAGAGGCTCATCCCCTCAATCGCCATACCAATCGTCTCTATTGACTCCCCCACAACCCGCCGCGGTGCACACATTCCCCGAATACAACCCCTCATCTTTTTTCATCTTCGATGATGATATCCAGGCGAAGCAGCTCGACCCCATGATGGCCATCTCCCACGCGCCGTACGACTTTTTCAGTACCTTTGATGGGGCCGATATCGGTCTCGATGGCGGGCTGGGCATGGACATAAATATGGACTTGTCGGGCATCGGCACGGGGATCGTTGGCGAGGCGATGGGAATAGATCCGCAGCTCGTTGGGACGCCCTCTGTCCCCAGCGATACGGAGGAAAATGAGCATGTTGAGCCGGCTGAAGAGGTCGAACACGACGGAGACGTGTCTGAGTCACCTTCGCCTCCGGCTCCGACAAAGCCCACCAAAGCGCGCACGACCAAGAAGAAAGAGAAGGAGGTTGAGACTGATGAGGAGCGGGAGAAGCTCACCCTTATCATCCAGCCTGTCAAAGTCGGTGGCCACGGCAAAGCTCGCAAAGGCACTATCCAATCCGGCGGCATCGTCAAGAAGTCGCCTCCTCCCAATCCTGTTTCCGCCTCTCTCGGAAAGGAAAACACATACAACGTCTCTACTCCTTTTGTTGTTCCCCCGAGTTTCACCCCGTCCACAGCCTATCAACCCACCAACATTTATAACCAAGGTCAAAAGAAGGGCCCGACGAGCGAGGGTGGGAAAGACGATGAAGACGATGACGAGCTTCCTCAAGACTGGCGGCCGTCTCCCGAGGTCTTTGCAAAGATGACCAGCAAGGAGAAACGGCAGCTCAGGAATAAGATCAGCGCGCGCAACTTTCGTGTCCGACGAAAAGGTGTGTATTTTTGACGCCCCTGCTTCGTTTTATTTTTAATCTTAATTTCGCAAAAAAGAATATATTTCAACCCTGGAAGGTGACATCGCCGAACGGGATCGCCTCCTCGATGCCATCCGGTCGGAACTCGGCTCTACGCAGTCGGAAAACCTCGCACTCCGTCAGGAGATTGCTGCACTCAAGCGCACGCTGCTCGATGGTCGTGCTCCGTCTGCCACGTCAGATGGTACCGATTACCCCCTGCTCAACCTCCCACCGCCTGCACCTCTCCACGCACAGAGTGCTGCCGCCACACTCCAGGCACAGGCTGCTCAGGCCCAGCAACAACAGGCCGCAGCACTACTGACACCCAACACCCAAAAGGATGCCAGCAAGAATGGCCGCTTCTGGGGTGGTGTCCGCCTTGGCATGGGTATGGGAGGCGTTACGCCTGTCCACCGCGTTGTGCTTCCTGATGTATCGGTCGCGGACATGCTGCAGAACCAGTTCTCACCGAGTCCTTTCGCACCGAGCCCATTCGTGGTGGCGAAGGACGACAAATGGAAGGAGAACGTCAACCCCCTCCTCAACGGGCTCGGTGCCGTTGCTGAGAAAAGCAAGCTCGAGAGGGAGAAAGCGGATCTGGAGAAACAGAAGGCGGAGAAGATGATGCCTATCGGCTTCGAGGGCTTCGCGGATGTGAACCCCTTCACGATGAAGACGCTCGATGCGTACAGGATGCACCTCTGGGGCAAGATGGCGTCGCAGCAGCAACACAACCATCAGCAACAGCTCCAGCAACAACAACAAGCGCACCAGCACCACCTCACGGGCCTTGCGTCTTCCCTCCGCCCCGCGTTCTTCTCTGCACCCACCAACGCCTCCCCCATCGTGTCCTTGCTTTCTGGCAAACACGTACTGCCCTCGCCGGCGCCGCCGTACTCCCACGCACACCCGACGACACCCAGCACGCCTCCGCCGCCGTATACGTCCCCGCCCTCGTCGCCCGTACTCCTCGGCAAGGGCAGCGTCGTCGAGAAGCTCGAGCGCGAGCGCAGGGAGCTGCAGAGGGAGCGCGAGAGGGAGAGGGAGAGGTTCGTCGAGAGGGAGAAGGAGAAGGAGACCGCGATGTATGCCGCGCTCGCGAGCCAGACGCTGTTCCGCAAGCTCGGGGGCGCGTTCTGGGATGCGTTCTCCGGCTCCTCCCCGTCATCGTCGTCGAGCTCGTCGATTGGGGCGGGCAAGTCGTGGGATGCGGATAAAGTCAGGAGGGTGCTTGAGGGCAAGGCGGTTGTGAGGGTCGTGGATATTGAGGAGGTGAAGGTGCAGCAGCCGCTGGAGCAGGTTAAGGCGCCGACGCCGGTCCAGATGCAGGCACAGGCGAAGAGCTGCTGCTTTGCGACGGCGGAGGGCTTGCTGGAACAGAGCATGAGGAGCTTGACGCTCAATAAGAAGCCGTGAGTATGAGCTGAAGCGGTCTTGTATTTTGTGGAAATTATATGGTGTGTGTTTTCGTTTTCTTGTGTTTTTGTGTGGACGCTGATGTTGTGATGCAGTGATGTTAACGAGCAATGAAGAAGTGAAGAAGACTCTTTCTTCGGTGTACCCTATACTCAAGAAGTTTGTGATATAATACTCTAGTCCCCGCTTCTCTTTTCCCTATATTCCTCATTTCGTTTCCTCCTCTTCCTTCATTGGTTTTGGCTTCCCAATTTCGGGACTCCCACCCATTTCCTTGCATACTCGTGCCATGAGCTTCCGCAGCCAGCACGCCATCCCTCATTCCTATCTGTATATTGCCATCATAATCAGATATATATTCTCAGATTCGGTACTCACTGTGCCGCGCCACCCTCCTTCTTCCCGTATTCCCTCCTTCCCTTCCTTCCACTTTCACATCCCCCGCGTTCGTGGACCGAACTCTTCTTTCCCCTTCCGCTCTCTTAGACCTACGCGCCTCATGCGCTTCGCCATCCGAAGCAGCCTACTACTCCCCCCATCCCCTCTCAGCATCATCGATCATCCGTCGCTTTCCTTCGTTATTTAACCCGGCCCATGTAGCTTGGGACCCGGCATACTGCATACTCTTAGTTGTTCTCGTTCATCGTAGCATAGGCATTACATATAGCATCTTCAGAATCATATAAAATTTGCTTGATTGAAGTTATACCTTTCAACTGAATGAGTGGAGACCATGTAGCATGGCAAAAGTGCTAAGGTTCATGTGTCGCTCATAGATCGATCGTTGCTGAGAGTTCTAAAGAAATCTGATAGCTCTTGGGTTTTGTTATCGCGTAAAGCTCAGAGTTGGCTGAAGCTTTTAATGCCCCAAGATCCTTTCTTTACCACGTCGGGTATGGTGTAACGGCTAACATTGCCGCCTCTCATGTTCACTGCGTTCGCGGCAGCTCGGGGTTCGATTCCCCGTACCCGAATGTGACTAATAAAGCCCAGTTTTTTTTTTCAACTATTATACAATTTTGAATCCACTCCTTCGGAGGAGAGAGGAAGGCTCTCGCCACGACATCGACCAAGATATATATCTTTCTACTTATGTACTCTGAATCTGATTGCTAGAAATCTAGTTTGCATCGTAGTCGTAGTTGTGATAAAGTACTTCGATCACTGCTGTTCCTCTCTCTAGTATAAGATGGGTCTGTGGTATATATCCGACATTATGAAGACCCATTTCAATCCCATACCCTCCATCTGGAGCCTCCCGATAGCTTGGTGGGTTAATTGTATTGGCCAAGGGAGGGGTGATGTGATCGTGACACACTGCAACGCTGGGAAGGACTCCTCGGTCAACAGAGAGGCCATGCGGCCCCAGCCAGTGTGACGTGGCAGGCCTACTTGCTGATTGCCGAACAGAAGTTCCGGAGGAGAGTTGTTGATTTCCAGAATGAATATGAGCTCTTCGATCGGGCTGGGCTTTGCGAGGCGCATGATTGATAAGTCTACCCACTGCGGTGGACAGACCATTGGGTTCCACAGGACGTGGGGAGAGAGTTGGAGGGTAAGACGGCGAATGCATGGGTTGTGGTGGAAGGTGAAGGGTATTCCAGGAAGGTGGGGAGTTTCTAGATAATAGGGAGTCAGCGGATATAATATCTCACAAAATAGGATACACACCTTTGATTCGCTTGATAGCAACGTCTGTGACCGAACGGCCGACGAGCTTGAGTAGCCTTGATATCAGTTTGATGACGAGTTCGTTGTAATCCGGGTCATATTCGATGTTGAGATATCGCAGCTCACTCAAGTCGAGGCTACAGATAGGATTACAGAGCCAATCACCCAGCATGTAACTTTCCATCGTGAGTTCCACAGTGAGAGTTCTAAGTTTGGCCCGAGTGGGGCTCTCCTGCAAACGACGGAAGTCAAATGGACGGCTGGTGAATTTCGTCACATTCAGGTTCTCTAGGCACGGAGCATGTGCGAAAAATTCCTGCAGTTCGAAGGTCGCAAAAGTACAGCCTTCGAACCACAAGGTCCTAAGCTGTTTCGTATCGAGTGCAGATGCCAAGGGTTCGCGAAGAGTACCAGAGAGTTCGTACGGCCGATCCCCCGGCCAGGTCCACTTCCCACACATGATAACGAGCCTAAGGATACGCTTGAGATACGGCAAGATAGCGGCAGCCAGCTGTGCGCTGATTTGGTGGTCAATCTTGAAGGCGGGGTAGCGAATGTACTCCCCAAGGTGTGGCGAGTGGAGGAGGGTATAGTATAGGCGAAGGCACTGGTGGTTTGTCTCCGCGAAGCAATGGCGGAATATGCGCATTTGAGCTGCGGCGGTCCACGCTAACGAGACGCGCGAACACGATTTCCAGTCCGTAGGTTCGGCGAGGTAGTCGAAGATTAGATCAACGAGCTCGAAGGGTAATGAATCCATGTTGAGCACGGTTTGAGAGATGCTGAGAAGTGGCTGTTCAGGCTGAGAAGTGGAGAATAAAGCGTAAAAGAGGGTCAAAGCGCTACTACCACCACATGTATGTCAGTCCAGAACACAAGAGATGATCTTTGATAAACAGAGATCAAAGCGTACCTGTAGTTGTTCGCAGCTTTGTCTAGCTTTGTCCCCTAGTGTCGTGCTCAGACTGCTCTTAGGCGATTCCAAGGTAGAGAGCCACAAGCGGATATGAGTAACATCGGGAGAAGTAAAAGTTCAACTCAAAGACGCGTCACACGGTACCGATGCACTTTACGTTCATGATGCATGAGGCGCATTGGTGAGTCATGAGGTCCGCGGATTCGACGCTAATTTGCCTGAACTAATCGAACGGCGTGAGAGAAAGAGAGGGTATATTGAACACGCCTTTAACGAAGGTATAAAGGTACAGGGTATATAAGAGAAAAGATAACGAGGAAAGAAGAAGATAAAAGATAAAGAGAAATGAAAAGAATATAGAAGTATATTCTAGTGAGTTCAACCAACTGCACCGTAGCGTTCATCCTCCCCTGCGCCAACCAGGACGTCCTCGCCTTTCCTCTTCCGCCTCGGCCTTGTCACCTTGCCTCCAGGTTTCACCGGCGACCACTTCTTCGCCTTACTCGACCCCGCCGTCATGGATCTGAGCATCATACGCTCCGGAACCTCAGGGACCGCCGGTTTGGCGATGATGGATACATTGAGATCAAAGCTCGAGTCAGAGACCTCACTCCCCCCAACGGACGAGCAAAACGACGTTTCCTCAACGGGGTCGATCTGAAGTCGTGGAACGAGGTTCTTGGCATCGTGCTGGCGCCGTTTCGCCATAATTTTATCCCACTTTCGGGACTGCCTCCGTTTTGCGATCGCCGCAGGGTCTTCGTCGTCTGCGGGCGGAATGCCTTCCTCTGATGATGTAGGCGAAGGGAGGACGATGGGTGGAGGCGTGCGGTATGGTGTCCAGGGCAGACCTGCGTTTTCTGACAGATTCGACGAACTGGTGACGACGTGTTGCCCGCGGGAACCGGTTGGGGTGGCGGGTGTTGCGTGCGGGGCGAAGCAGCCGACGAAGTTATGGGCGGGGGTCGCGGGGAATGGTACATCTTGAGGAAGGAGCCGCTCGAGGCGTTGCGAGAGTGGGTGTATGAACTGGAGAATAAGATGTTCGTTAGGTGGAAGCATAGGTGAAGAAAGGATTGACTGACCTCCGCGGGTCCCTCGACGTCAAAATCGAAGTCATGCGCAAAGTCCTCGAAGGCTGTGAATGCCCTAACGCGAGTCCTTCGAGGTGTCTCGGAAGCAGAAGCCTAGAAAGAGAGCATGAAAAATTTGAACATATGGAAAGGGAGTAAAACCTACCGTTACCACTGATGTCGCAGGTTCGGAGTCTGTGACCGGAACAGTGACACCGCTATCCCAAAAAGTGATGGAAATGGAAGGGATTATGGAGGGATGTGCAAGACCGTTGAAGTCCACGTCCTCTTCATCATGGTTTGGGTGCCTGTCCGTTTCGTTATCTGTGTCGTCATTGGTAACCTCGAGCGAAGGTACAGGGAGCAGCGCAACCTCCTCAGCCTCTTGTACGGCAGCTGGGATTAAAGGGGACATCAATTCAGCCGAGATCGTGGTGCCGCAATGCTGAACTTGGTCGTCGACCAAGGGGAGCTCAACGTCATTGGATGGGAATGCGTCGCTGCTGTCCTCAAAGGGCTCTTGGTCGTGCCTATCGATTGTACCGTCTTCAGATTCGTCATCCGAGTTGAAGAGGTCGCGAGCATCAAAAGACTCTTCAATGACTATGACCATGTCTTGGATCTGTAATTCGCCCCCCGATGCGAACAAAGGATCTTTGACTTCAAGCGAATCGTCGTTGAGCGCGTCTATGTCCTGATCGTTCTGGCTGGCATCCAATGCGAGTAAAAGGTCTTCGACTTCGAGAGTGTCGTTGTTGAGCACGTTCGCATCTTGGTTATCCGTTTCGGCGTCCGATGCGAGCAAGATGTTTTCAACTTCTTGAGACCCAAAGCTTTGTTCGGAGCCGTCGATGGTGTCAGCCTCGGAGACGGTGTCAGTGTCGGTGATGTCAGCCTCAGATACGGTGTCGATGACAGTCTCCATAGCCGCGGGCTCGGTGTCGATAGGGAGTTCCGCACGGACAATTTCAAGGATCGCGAGGACGAGTACCAAAGGACCAGCTACTAGCCGCAAAGAAGAGCCATAAGAGGTGTCCAGTGCCTTGATGATCTCGAGGAAGTAAGCAGGCGCGGCTTTGGCCATTTCAAATTCAACAGAAACGGCGAGCATCAGGAGGCGGTACCATGGACGGATGTTTTCAACGGTGTGAGAGAGTATTTCGACGAGGTTCCCGAGGGGTCCTTTGAGACTGACTGAGCTGAGCTGAACGGCGGCCATGACCTTGAGGGAGTGGTGAAGGCAGGTGCATGCCAATTCCCGGAGGCGAAGCTTGAAAGGCAGAAGATGGGCCGTGCGGTGAGTAACGTCGATGACGGCCTGAAAGACTTGCTGGCACTTGGCTGCGTTGGCCGATATATAACGAACCAAGAGGCCTGCACAGGACCCAATGAGGAAGTAGAACAACGAGATCGCGGGGCCGTAGAATCCAACCGCAGACTTGTTATCGTTGTCGTCGATGCGACCGGTGGGAGCAGGAGGCGGAGGGTCTTCAGGATCCCCTCCTTCAGCGCACAAAAATGCATCTTGAGGCTCGCTGCTTTGTTCGTCGCTGGTCTCACTGCTGCCGTTGCCGTTGCCATTGCCGTCATCGTCGTCGCCGCTGTCGATGTTTCTAGTGTTGTCCTGGTCACCATTGCCGTCGTTAGTTTCGCCATTACCAGTGGTGTTGTCCTCGGGTTCGGGTTCATCCTTCGGCGGCGGCGCAGCTTGTTTCCCTCTACGAGGATTCCGTCGAGGTGGGCCTTGGTTCGGGTTCGATCTACGCTTGCCACGGGAGTAGACCAAAGCTGGGCAAAGTTAGGGGTGTTCAGTACTTCTGAGAAATGCCATTGATGTGCAAAAAACGCACCAGTTCCTGAAATCAGTCCAACCAAAACGGTGCCGAAGACAATGTAAACCAGTACCGGGAGAGAGACCGAACCCTGCGATGGGGTGAAAGACGTGGAAGTGGGAGGAAGAGCATTGACAGTGGATGTCGGGTTGCTGACGATAGGGGCTTCCGAAGGTCTCGAAAACGAAGTTATGAAGAGTTGTGTGGTAACATGAAGAACAACGGAGGCAGCTGCGAGGACCAAAGACGGGGGAGCGGTGAACTCGGTGGATGGCTTCGTTCGTAGGAGGTCTACTAGAAGCTGTAAGACTATCATATTCGATGATAGTACGAAGAAAGAAGGGTAATTGAAGATTTGGAACTTTTATAGGAGCTCGCGTCTGCTCGCGTGTTGCTCGCGTGGAAGATGACACATTTCAGTTGAAGTTGAAATGCGGGCCTGGTCTTGGGTGAAGTCGAGATCGAAAAGGGCCCAGAGTACT